GAAGCCAGCTTCTCGACACCACGAGTCATAAACAACACATTGGACATATAAATATATATATATATAATATATATATATATTATAATATATATAATAATACAACTTAATCAGCGTGCCGTCGTGCGGTTCGCTCCGCGCCAACCGATGGTGGCGCTCCGCTCAGATAGTCGTGCCTACAACTTTGAAAATCCTGGCTACGCCCCTGCCAGCCATATTGAACTACCATCTACATACAGTGAGTCGTGTATCCAACACGTACCTTATAACGATCTCTGTAAATCATATATGCTATGGCGGTCAACTATATCGTCACTGACAGCTTACACGAATTCGCCATCAAGAATTCGCCGAACGTCCGATGGAAAGTTGGTACTAGCCTGCATTTAATCAAACAATCTTAGCTTGATTGCTTTGCTCTCTCCCTCTCTTTCTCCTATCGCCGCCTCGGTCTGCCAGGAGATTTTTGTTTCAGTAGAACGCTGCGATTTTCAGCTGCATATTGAATGACCTATTGATTCGGATTGTTACCAGGACAACGGGGCTACCGTGACAGCTCATCTATGATGTAGTTTAGATGCACCCCGAGGCCAGACTCGCCAGCTGGCAAAAAAATTACCCGCGCGTGAAGATTTCTACATAAAGTACCGCCTTCGCAAACATCGGTCGTCTAAGTGATACATCCACCTCAAAGTCTACGACAAGGGTTGTAGAGAGACGACGCAATCTTCGATGGAACTGGAATTGGCGGTGCAACGTGATGCACGGCCCTTGTGCAAACGTGATGTACGTGCTCGTGCCGCAGGACAACCGGTCACCGGACGGAACCCGTCTATAGCCATTTCGACCATGTTTATTCTTTCGATCCAACACATCGACACGCTATGGGCATTATCATTAAAACATCGGATACACACACAGCGCCTTTATGTGCATATACGTGTGCACAATGTCTAACTCGTCGTACGCCTCGTTGGAGACAATTGATCGTTGGAAAAAACGTGGGCGTGTGGGCGTGATCGCCGATGGATGTGATTTTCGTGCTTTATGCATGCTATTCTCGTTCTCTCTCCATCTTTATTTCTCATTCTCTTTCTCTTTCGCTCGGTCGCTCGCTCTCGCACTTTCTTTCAATCGCTCGCTCGCTCTCACACACTCTCTCTCGCTCTCTCGCTCTCTGTCTCTCTGTGTCTATCTATCTATCTATCTCTCTCACTCTCTCTCTCTCTTTTTCTACCTGCTCTTTTCTCTAACTTGAATACTCGTTTGTTCTTGCTCTCCCGTGCTCTCTCCGTCTCCCGTCTCGCTCGCTCTCTTTCTCTTCCTTTCTTCGGGCACGCATTCTCTCTCGACCGTTATCGCCCTCGCGCTTTCCTTTCTTTTCTCAGTCTTCTCTTCCATCTTTTCCTTTCTGAGACGTTTAATCTCTCCCTCTCTCTCGGCATCTTCTTTACTTATTTCTGCCTCCCTTTCTCACACGCTCTTCCTCTTTCATTCTCTCGTTCTCTCTTTCTATCCCCCCCTCTCTCTATCTCTCTCTCCCTTTCTTTCTTTCTTCTATTCTACAAATATCTACTCGTCGCGTGATGTTATTAACATACACGATAAACAATGTCTATTCGTTCGTTCAATGCCACAGCGTTGATGCGCCTAATTCACGGCATATCGGTGTCACGTCTTGCTATGTCCCTGCCGCTGTTATACACAGAAACACAACTCACTCCCCTCTCACTGTCACTGCACCGTCGACTGATGTTCATGTCGAAAAAATATGTTCGCATTGCGTCGCTGCTACTCACAGCGGTAGTCGTTGGCGTCTCGAGGCTGGAAGCTTATACTGGTTGATCATGATACATGGCGGGTATACGGGTATAACACTTTCTCTTTACGAAAAGATACGAATTAAATTATGTATTAAATCAATGATGCCGATATATATATATATATATATATATATATATATATATATATATATATATATATACGTACATCTAACAGAAGCATCACTTATTTTAATCTTCAGCTTGCTGTAATGCCAGGTATATGTAAACCGTGGAGGAGTACCTAGCGTGAGAACAGGTGTTGAATTCTTTACCCATGAAATTATTCAAATTAACGCTGAACAAACGGGTCGTTTGAAATCGATTGTATACGAGCTGTTGACTTAGCCGTACCCAGACGTTGTCTCTCTGTCTAGCACTGATAATGACAGCCGACAGACAGACAGAGTAAATTGCTGGCGATCTGTGCACGGCACACATCTGAGTAAACAACCAGTGCTCGTTTTGCTTCTTCAAACGGCGGCGGAATGCTTCAGGAATTTTTTTTACCTCGCATAAAACTCTCTCAGTGTGCGCTCGCGAGCACACGTATACACAATTAGCATTTAATAAACGTGTGATAAATACTGTAGCTACACACGAGGGCAACGTGCTATATAAGAATCGCACTGCTTATTTACAGAGTCATATATAGTTATGCGTGGAGAGCCGTGACAGGTGGTGCGCGCATAAAAGCCGCCATTTGCATTTTCCGCTCCATAATAATTCCCTCGTTAAAGCGTGTTGTTATGTCGACTCGTAGAGAGCATTCTTCAAATGTACATCTTCTCTCATATTAACATTAACGAGTGCGATATACTATAGTAGAATATTAAAGTATAATTTCCATATAGCACAATGCACAATAGTACTGATCTTGTTAATTATTGCTGTTATTATTCTAATTAGTATCATACATAATAATATTGGGATTGAGTTGCTGACTCGTAAGGCACAGTTTTCCTATTGAGTTTGTGCTCTGGCGCCGTAAATGTGAATTTTGAACTCCTATAATGAGATATATATATATATTGAAATAGTGAGAATGAGAAATATTTACAGACGTGCATATATATATATATACTGCCCTCTTGCAACATTGCAATACAGAATGACTTCGCGATGCAAAACTAACCTCTAGGTTTCACGCTTTCACGCTCAGTATTGCACTTTCTAATATTTACTCACCGTGTTGTGAAGAGATGTGTCGGTGCTTGCCACCCGATTTAAATCGGTTTCGCAAGCCACGAAGTACTGGACGTTCAGGTCCTAGAGAAATGCAATATTGCAGTGTAGTTCGCAAGGTCGAGTGTATGGTCGTTATAGGCCGTACCTAAATATATTTAGTGACGACATGGCATCATCGATATTTGGCCGCCCACAAGACAAGCGCGATGATCGGCGGCCGTAAACCCTCTAACATGACAAATAAAATATAACACGCAGTAGCATAAACACGTGGCATAAAATTTAGCATGAAATAATATAACATAAAGTATAAAGGATCACATAAATAGTGTAGGATATTAAATCAAATCAAGATAAAATCCGATGACCTAACGCAGAGCATTCACACACTAGAGGGGAGAGAGAGCAAAGAGAAAGAATGGCTGAATTAACACATCCACAGCAAGCTCGCTGACATGTATTAACAAATAACATGCGTACATTTTATCACAATGCATGACTGGCAGATGTGCCAACGCCGACAAAGTGGTCGCGTGCCATAGATTCTTGCGTGTCATAGCGATATCAAAATGTAATTGCATACGGCTTCGCACAGTTATTATATGCGTGGTGTAACTTATACGAACTGATCCAGTACCGATGCGTGAGCATACGAGGACTTCTGTGTTAAATTCCCTATTCTGATTATCTTGCTTAAATCCAATTACAATAAAATTTCCCAATTATTTCTTCACTCCTTCTCCCTCTCATTCTCTCATTCTTCCCCATGCCTTATGCTACTTTTAGGGCAAACCATGCCTCTACCCTTGCGAATCACATTAATTCAATCTCTTAAGCTAACAAACTTTCTTCTTCCAACACTTATCACCCCCTCACTCTTTTTTTTCTCTCTTTCTCTCTCCCATCTATCTCCCCTCCTATCTCGTGCTATTTCTCATGCCGGATCTCTCGCTGCCGTCATTCTAGTTCCCTTTCTCCCGAACGGGTCGTAACATCGAGTCTGACGTCATTCAATCCGCTCGATGGCAGCACTGCGGAGTGAATGCGAAGAAATCGTATCCTCCTCCTCCTCACTGCTCGCGTGCGCGCACCCCCTCCCCCTCACTCACCCGCAACCCACCTCCATC